TTTCATGTGTAACCATGTATCCACCATTTGCCCTATTATAATGCTACCTGCTACATACCAAGCTATTTTTGACTCTGTTTGAGCTCCTTGTTGTGTCACTTAGCAGGAGGTACATGTTTTGTTTTTCATTTAATCTTCCATTTATTTATATACTGTAAGTTAACAATGTATGTTTGTTTCTTTGAGGCGTTTAGCAGTCTTTTGTGTAAGTGTGGTCTGCAGTTGGAAACAACTTTGGAACGTTAAACGAGCTAACGTTACCTAGCAACCTGGGGCCTTATTGAAGAAGAAGAACAAGAAGAAGATACACTTTATTTGATCCCCTAGGGGGAAATTGTTCTTTTCACTCTTTTTTTTGTATACACACACACACAGGCTGAAAATGCACACTTGATGCACTTGTGGACATGCAAAGGGGAGAGGATGGTGGAGTGATGGGGCTGCACACGTAGCCCATCTGACCAGCGCCTCATGAGCAGGTTTCGGGGTTAGGTTGCCTTGCTCAAGGGCACCTCGGCAGTGCACAGGAGGTGAAACTGGCACCTCTCCAGCTACCAGTCCACACTCCATATTTTGTGGTCTGTGGGACTTGAACCGGCGACCCTCCGGTTCCCAAGCCAAGTCCCTACACACTGAGTTACTGCCACCCCACCTGTGAACCTGTGACCTGTCTGCTCTGATCAAACTCCGTTATTGACTAATTAATCTGACATAAATTAATGAGAAAAAGCTCTTGTAATGGTAATGCACACAGTATATCATATATTACTTATTAAAACTTTTATATTGTGCTTTGTAAGTCTCATTTTAAGAACTTCCTCAACATTAGAACAGAGGAGAAAACTACAACCTGCAGTGCTCTTTTCAAACGGCAGATGTCACCAGAGATCTTCAGGTCAGTGACAAGCACCTCTATCTTATTTAACAGGGATGGAGGAGGCTATTTTTTTTATTGTTGAGCCCTCATCATAGTAACAAATGAGAACTTTTGAGTTTTCTTTTGCACATAAAAAGGTAAGGCTTTGTAGTTCTTTGATAAGTGGGTGCACAACAGGATCTACACAGCAAAACGTGTGGTTTTATGTTTGATTTTTCTCTGCATTCATATAATGTTGAATTTCATTAGGTACACAGAAGGACAGCTGCTGAGTCTGTGAGCCCAAGGTAAATTCACTAGATAATGCATTTCTGAATCCTGAATATTTGCCCATATACTGCACAGTATGAATTACCAGTAAGACTATAGGAACACCATATGGCCGTCACCATATTCATAAAATTACTTTAAGAAAGAAACAACATTTTCTTTCCTCCTGCATTCACTAGTTTTTTAAACTAAAATCAAAATTTCTCTCTCTCTGTGAATAAAAATCTGTTGTTTTATATGAAAAAAGTTGACATGGGTATGCCTAATGAATTGGCCAGGGAGTATGTATTAATGCAGATTATTTTCAGTGAAATGTAGGCCGCATTTTACCAAAATGATTGAAAAATATTTCCACATCTCTGATATTGTACATGGTATTGTACATTGTTATGTACATTGTTGTTATGGTACAATGTGTATTGTGAATAATGGGTAAAAGTTTAAGAGGCAAGGCTGGTTGATCTTCCTTTGGAGTTATGACAGCTGTATTAAGAATAAGTCAAACTAGCACCAGCAGTGGTTAGCTCTGTCTCCTCACAGCAAGAAACTTCTGGGTTTGATTCCCGACTGGGGCAGGGCCTTTCTGTGAGGAGTTTGCATGTTTTCCCTGTGTCTGCGTTAGGTTAATTCTCCAGTCAGTGCCCTTGACTAAGGCTTAGACGCTGTTCAGTGACTGCTCCTAGTACTTAAGCTGGGTTAAATGCAGAGGACAACATTCACTATACTGTGTTTATGTGATAATACAGTTGATTCTATTCTATAAATAAAGCAGCAGTCAGTGTTATGACTGTTGGTGAAATAAACTTTTCCTTCTGTGTTGTAAAGGAAGGAAACAGCAGTTCTTATGATCCAACTCAAGAGGGTGCAATGCACTTGCATGTGCTGCGTATCTGAAATACATTTTTTACACTGTTAGTATCACAGAACAAGACAGGGCAGAGACACCAGCACAGACATAGAATCAGATTTATGTGCACAGACATCTGAGCATGCACACAATCACAAATATGAATGTATGTATGTGCTGTGATTTAAACTGTATGCACACACACAACTGAAAGACATCATGCATGTACAGTAGCTCAGAGATTTTAAGAACATTTTTAAGGTTAAAGTAAAGAGGAGTTGCAAGTGGAGTTAAATTTGTGCTAAGCAGCTGAAAACAGCTAATGGTGCTGTAATGATTGATGTATACATAGTTAAAGTTATATTACTTAAGCTCATACGGTTGCTTTGGTTTAACCAATGTGTCTGAATTAAAGGGGGATTTTTTGTCTTGTATGGTCTCAACGAATACACTCCCTTTACATCAAACATAGTGTACGCATACACACACTCACAACCACATCATGGATTCATTAAACAGCCAAACAGCTGGCTCGGATATGTGGGTGATTGCACTCTGTTAAAGTCTGAAATCTCTTCAATGTGCTGTTCTCCAGCTGAATCTATTACATTCACAGTTTCTTTATCATCATTACACACACACACACACACACACGATGCAAACACAGACAAGAAAACAAAAGCCATGTTTTGGTCCAACTTGCCATGAGACATTATGCTAAGCTGTTTGTAGTGTCAAACTGATGGCGCCTGCTACAGTAGACACATATATCTGCTCACACACACACACACACACACACACACACACACAAACTGTTTATTCCAGCCGGTATCAGAGTGTCGGCAGAGAGGAGAAACTGTTGCTAAGAGACCTGGCTTCCTCGCCTCTTGCCGCTCAGCATCATTAGTTGGCCTTTACTGTCACTTTCCTAACCTCTCAGCCCTAGTCAGTCCACTGTTACTGTGGAGAAATGAGCTTGTTTCTCAGCTTGTTCAATAGTGGGGGTTGGGCCATGGAGCCAAAATTAATAAGGGGTTTATTGGAGCCATCGGTCTAGGGGGGAAAAACACTGGTGTTAGATGGGCGTCACAGGGCAGCTTAATGATTGCCTTACATTCAGGTGAATAGACTAAGAGGAGGTCTGGGGGCTGGGGGGGACGGGGGAGGATGTGTTTTTACGCTTAGTTTGTGTTAACAGAGAATTTCTTGCCACTCAAGTAGGGAATTTTATCCATGTAAAGTTCAACACGGAGCTGCTCAAAATTGGGCTATTCAGTGTGCACATCAA